TGGGCCCCGCCGGTCCCCGCCGGCCCCCCGGCCTCGCCGAGGCCGCGCTGCCGCCGCCGCAAGCCAAGTCAAGTCACGAAGTCAAACTTAAAGCCCGGAACGATCAATGAAGACTTTTGCCGTCCGTGGCGCCTCGTGCTTCCTGGCACTAAAATAAATGCAAGAAATCGAAACTTAATTACTTGAAAGAAATCCAGAAATCCCTCTGCATAATTTATCCAGGCATTTTGCGTGGCGTTTGTGGTGAACGCACGCGTTTAACTCCGCACGCTCCGCTCCCCGACGCCGCGCAGGGGCGAGAGGCGGCCGGCTCCTCCCGGCCGGCCCCCCCCCCCCCCCCCCCGCACCCCCCGGCCGAGGGGCGACGGGAGGAGAGCGGGGGGGGGTCACCGGAGAAGACCGCGTTTCTGCCTCGGGGTCGCCCGGCGCTGAGCGTGTGTGTCGTGTGTCCCCCCATAGCCCCCGGCTGAGAGCATCCCCCGGGGCAGGGATGCGGGCAGGGCAGCGTGCGGTACCCTCTCCTCTTCTCCTCTCCTCACCGCCTGCGAGGTCTGAGCCCCGAGCCAGGCACTCGGCAGATATTTTCTGATCAGGAGTGTCTGGCGTAACAACCCGAGTCTCCGAAGCGTAATGGAAAGTGCCAATAAAGTAACTCAGTTATTCTGATAAACTTCCCCCCTTGTCTTTGACGATACCGCCGTGGCCTCCGCGGTCCTTCTTATGAATAGGGTATGACACCTGCTAGCTGGGGGTAGTATATTAACCGGCAACGCGGCGATGGCCTCCTCGTTTGCCATCTAGCCTGGCTGCCGAGAGCCCGCTCGGCAAGCCTTCCGCTGAATTCATTAGGACTGGGAGTCTGCCGGCTCGGGAGCAAACTTTATCATAGACACCTCGTCGAGAAGTTGAAGTAATGTTATGAAAGAATGAAAAATACATTTGGGAGCTGCCTGGAAACTGAAGTACATTTTGATTTAACTTACATTAACAGAAACCTAATGTAAAAGTGAAGGGATCTAACAAAACCATTAATAATTTAAAAATAATTACAGATAGTCTATCCTTACTATTCATAACCACTCAACATTTTAGACAAAGAAAGCTGAATATTCTTCGTGGGAGAAAGATGTGAGCAGACTGCTAAGCAGCAGCCGTCCGGCTCACGCTGCCTCTCCTCCTCTCGCGTCCGCCGCACGTTCGCCACGGTACCCGGGGCACCATCCAAAAAGTACTTTTCCAGGAGGGAGGGTGAGCGCTGGCTGGAGGTGGAGGGCAGGTCCTGCCTTTGTGCAGGGCTTTTTGGCAGGCGTAAGGCACCAATTTCAACCCC